AGTTAAAGGGCCTGGGGTGGTAGCGGCGGCTGAGCCCCTGGCCCTTTAAGTTGCTGCCTGAGCCTTGCTGCCGCTACCCCAAGGCTCCGGCAGGCTCCGGGGACGATTTAAAGGGCCCGGGGCGGTAGCTGTGGCAGGCGCCCCGGGCCCTTTAAATTGCCGCCCAAGCCCCTCTGCCGCTTTCCCAGGGCTCTGGCAGCAGGGCTCTGGTGGCAATTTAAAGGGCCTGGGGCTCCAGCTGCTGCTGGGAGCCCCAGGCCCTTTAAATTGCTGCCAGGGAAAGCCGATCCGCCCTGGTACAGTGCACCGGCTCTTGCTGGTATGCCATACTGGGGCGTACCAGCTTACTTTCACCTCTGGAGGAGGGGGATTTTTAAAAGATTGATTTAAAAAAAATCAAATTCAGACATTTCTGGTCTAGTTCAAACCAAGTGCAGAAACATAAATAATGACAACATCAGGAGAGAGGCTTGACATTAAGCCTCTCTCTTGGCATTAAGTGGGGAAGCTTGCCAAGATCAAAGGCCCCCTACCCCACTATCAGCAGTCCTTGGTGATCCAAAACCCTCACAACGTCACTTATATGGCCCAGCAGGGTTCATCGTGTGCATTGTGCAGAGTGGGTTTCAGGCCACCAGTGATTTCCTAAGAAACCAGATGTTGGTCTCAGAGGACCTCTGTGGGTTAAGCAGTCGGGAAAGTAACTTCCCTGGTGGATTGTATTTTCTAATAGACAACCTATCCTAAATTTCAAAACCAACTCTCTGTATAATTTTTCATGAGTGAGGTATTCGAATACATGGATGCTAATATCTAAACTGTATTGTTAACTTTATTCACCTAAATTTGGGTTATTGCTGACTATGCACTATATGTGTCTTATGACTTTTAAAACAACCTTTTTATTTCTGGATAATCTAAGCACTATACCCAGATGTACAGACACTCTTTTTCTTAACCTGTGTATTATATAATTTTTAACATTAGCTTTAATAAAATTTTTAAATCTGGATTCTATACAGGTTTTGTGGCAGATGAACTCCAGAATAGCTCTGATCAGAAATCTTTTGGCAAAATGTTTTATTTGACAGAAAGTTCCTTTTTGTCAAAACATTTCAGAAAAATTGTGTCATTTTCAACAAATATTCCTGTGGAACAAAACATTTGGAAAGAAAAAAATTAGGTTTGGAAAATTTTCATTTTGGATTTCAAAATTTTATTTTTAATTTAATTTTGTTTCATTTTTATATTATTTTTACATTATGTCATAATATGCACTACTACTGAAATACCATAGTGTAACAGTTGAAATATTCTATTTTTTTATATTTATGTATTTTAATTATATAATTATATACAGCTTTCCCTATATACACACTATTTTATTTTAAAAATAATTAAAGGCAGTTGCTACTTAGCCCTTATTGAAACATCTTATCTTTTCTAGATCAAAGTGTTTTCTGTTTATGTTTTAGTGAAAAAAAATTGACACACAATTTGTTGAAATTTCCTGTGAACTGGAAATTCTGAGTTTTGGCTAGCTTTGATCTTGAAGGACGTGTAGGGGATAGCTGCTTTCTGTTCATCTCCTCAGGGTTAAGGCAAAGCAGCTGGGTTTGCTGAGAGCAACTCAGAGCAGGTGTGTTTCATTGCCCTTACACAGCCAATTTTAAAGGAACAAATAGAAGAGTTCTCTCACTTTTTAGGAGAAGGAGTTAGAAGACTTGGCTCAAGAGAGTCTGAGTGCCTATAAAAAGGGGCTCGTGTTTCCTCCTTACTCCCTCTTCTGTGAGAGAAGAGGCCTCTTTAGAAGAGTGTATATTTAAATTGTTTGCTGAATCAGTTCCACCAACCCTGGATAAAGATTTCTCTGAGCACAAAACAACAGTATGCTGAAGCAGCTAATCTGTTAATCTTGTTTTGATTTTGTCCAGGGGTGGTACAAAGCATGTAGGGGAAAAACTGTGGACTCAACTAATATATTTTACTTTGGAATGACAACTACCTGTAAATAAAAGTGAAACTCTAGAGAGGATCTTTCTTTGCCAAGCTTGGCCTCCTTGTGAGATGTCTGTTCAGCTGTAGTGACCTTAGCCCTTCCATAGATGGGAGATGAAGTTAAGGGTTCAAAAAGTAGGACATCATTTTTACAGGGGTTTTAAATCTTTCCAATTATTACAAATAGAAACTGAACCAGGGAAAGATTTCTTTAAATACTTACAATGCAGTATTTCATATTGTCAGGCAGGATGGGAGAGGAAAATAAAAATTCCTTTTAAGAGAGGAAAGAATATTTCCATAGCCAAGATGTACTGATGTACATTGCAATAAGACTACACTATACTTACTCTATGGGTGTGAAAGAGTGTATGGGAAAAAGAGTGCTATCTCTGCAACTAGGGGTAATCGACAAGGTTCTTCCCCACTCTGGGGCAGAGTTATATAAACAGAAACAAAGAGGAGGGTAGAAGCCAGGCAAGCTGCAGTTGTTCCCTGAGATACCTAGAGCAAGGCCTAGCCTGATTCAGAGTCTGAGATGCAGACTGTAAGTTTGGGAGCCCTTGACCCTGATTAACTGACAGTTTTAATGATTCCTGGCCCGAGGAACTGTTTGCTGTAATTATTCCTGGTACCGAAGCCCAGGACCCCGGTTCCCCTTTGTTGCAATAGTGGGGCTCTTCCATCTCATCACATGTACTAGTGCTCGTCATGTACCTCTGTCCTCTCCAGAGTCGTCATCATTAGTCATTCCAGTGTCTTCAATTGTTCAGAAGGTGCCTGTTGACTCAGAGGGATTCCTGCAGCTGAACATCAGAGATGGCCCATTGCTCCCTAAGCATCTGTTTCTTGCTCTGGCTGTGGCTTCAGGCTAAGCGCTATGCCTCCTTGTGGCCCTGTGTGGCACCACAGGTGTGCTCTACCTTAATTTCCCCAGGTAGGGCTGAAATCAATTCACTGTAAGCACCCAGTGCAAGGAGAAGCCAACACATTTTAAACAAAATACCATGTCACCTTGTAATCAGGTTTCTAGGCCAGGAATCAGTGTAACAAACACTTCCCCAAGTGAGGAATCATTACAAGTTATTTAATCAGGCTCCAGAATCAGACTACCAAACTTAGGCCATGTCTACACTACAAAATTATGTCAACCCAAGTTATGTTGGCATACAGTCGCCTCAATTATTACATGGCTTGTGCGTGTGCACTCTTTGCTCCTTGTGTGGGCCCTGCGAGCCCTCACCGGGAGCACTTGTATCAATGCAGATAGCAGAGCACTGTGGATAGGTATCCCACTGTGCAATTCAGCACTATCCAGTACAGGGTGTTTTGGGAAGTTTTTGCAATGCCTGAAAGGGCTGAAATGAGTCATGCAGGGGCGACTCCAAGCATGGGGTCAACTTCCCATAATGCAGTGTTCTCCATCCCATAATTTCATCTGCACCTTTTAATATTTTGCACCTTTTTTTCAAAATCTGCACAAACATGCATGTCCCTCCTCACTGTCTCCCATGTCTGACAGAAACATGGATCCTGCACAGCTCTGCTCTATTTGTCATAAGTGTTGCAAGCACAGGGCTCATGATCCTCCAGTATTATTAGCAGAGCTACAAGAGAGGCCATGGGGACCATGATGATTCCTTGGAGGCTTGATTGCTGTGGGAAATAGAAAGAAACAATTCAAGGTTGCTGGTGGTGTTCACAGAGCAGCTGGAGATGGTGGAGAGCCTATTCTGGGCCTGAGAAATAAACACTGACTGGTGCAATCACATTGTCATGCAGGTTTGGAATGATGAGCAGTTGCTGCAGAACTTTTGGATGCACAAGGTCACATTTCTGGATCTGTGTGCCAAACTTGCCCCAGTCCTCCAGCAAAAGGACCCCAAAATGAGAGCTGCACTAACAGCGGTGAAGCGAGTGCTCATCACACTGTGGAAACTTGCAATACTAAACTACTACCAGTGAATCGGGAATCAATTTGGAGTCAGGAAATCCACTGTGGGGGCCATTGTCATGCATGCACAGCCATTAATTGCCTCCTGCTACACAGGACTGCGACTTGGTGCAATGTGCAGGACATAGTGGATGGTTTTGTGGCAATGGTATTCCCAAACTATGGTGGGGTGATTGCTGGCATTCATATCCCTATTTTAGCACCAGACCACCTTGCCACAGAGTACATAAACGGAAAGGGATACTTTCCTCTGGTATTGCAAATAATGGTGGAATCGAATCACCGGGACACTTTACCAACATCAACGCAGGCTGGTCAGGGAAGGTGCATGACGCTTGCATCTTTAAGAACACAGGACTGTTCAGAACGCCGCAAGCAGGGACTTTCTTTCCTGACCAACAGATTACCATTGAGAATGTTGAAATGCCAATAGTGATCCTGGGGGACCCAGCTAACCCCGTGCTCCCCTGGCTCATAAAGCCATACACTGGCCACCTCGACAGCACCAAGGAGAGATTCAACTACAGACTCAGCAGATGCAGAATGAAAGTTGAATGTACTTTTGGTCGTTTGAAGGGTTGCTGGCATTGTTTATGTACAAGGTTGTCTCTCGAAGAGAAAAACATCCTAGTGGTTATAGCTGCCTGCTGTGTCCTGCATAATATCTGTGAAGCTAAGGGGCAAAAGTCTCCATCGGGGTGGAGGGCGGAGGTGAGCGGCTGTCTGCTGAATTTGAACAGCCAGGTACAAGGGCTATTAGAAGAGCTCAATGTGAAGCTATACACACATGGAGGTTTTGAAAGATCATTTTAATAGTGAGACAGAATAGCATTTATTGCTGCAGTGTGCTCTACCTGGTGTTGCTCTTTTGCAGCCCGGAATGAATCTTGTAGTGATTACTCTGTATGTAGGAATATAACTTTGTAATATAATCTATTAATAGTGTCTGTGAATGATATGGGTTCTGTGACAAAATGAAACAACAGGAAATTGGTGCATGTCAGACATGCTCAGCAGCAGCATATGCTGTGAACTAATAGAGATGAATTTTGTTCCAAAAAATTGAATTTTATCTGTAACATGAACCAGGCAATTAAAAAAAAACATTTAAAACTTAATAAATTAAGGGAACAGAACTTATGAAGGGAAAAGAACACTCCATTCCAGGTACATGTACACCACCCCATGGCTTTCACAGGTCAGTGTATGTGAAGCTGTGATTGTCTTTAATGTTCCCTGGAATGGAGTGGTAGGGGTAGTGCAGTGGTTCCTTGATGCCACGTGGAATGTTGAGGGAGGGCATAGGGAGGTCCCAATATTGAGTTCTGCAGAGGGAGGCAAGCATGGGATTGTTTAATCTGCAGGTCTACCAGCATTTCAGTTTTCTGTCTGAGAAGTGAAAGCATCTCCTGTTGCATGTCCTTTTCCTTTTCCTGAACCTTTCTCCTCTCTGCTGTATCCTTCTCCAGGCTGTCTGCAAGGGTGATCCTCCGGGCCCTGGTTTTGTTCTCTGATGCAGCATTGGCTTGCAGCATCTCCTGGAACATGCCATCCCGAGTCCTCTTCTTTCTCCTTGTTATCTGGCTCAGTCATTCTGCAGGTGTGGAGGGAAAGACCCTAAATGCTACATTGGCAGCAACTGCAGATAGAACACACAGAGGTATCATTGTCAGTGTATTTACAACAGAAATTGAAACTTAAGATACTGAAATCACTTTCCTTGTGCCTTGAGAAGTGCTACTTCTGCTTGGGTTTGATGGAGCACAGCACCAGCCTTGGTAAGTATGGCCTTTGGGGGCGGTTGGGGAAATAAGGGAGGAGTAGCTCGCTGGCTTGATTATAGTTGTATAGGGCAATGGAACTGAATACTGGCACCATTTTCTATGGGTGATGGTGATTTTAGCTGATATCTCACTCGGGAGTGTAACAGAGACCAACCAAGCACAACTGCTGCTGGCGTTCCAATGCTGCCCAGGCCCGTATGCTGCTAGCCTGCATACTGCAATGGTTCCTACTGAAGTAATCACTGAGTGGTGTGGGAAACTGTACTACTGCGGTGGAAGAAATAAGGCAGCCCTCCCCAGAAACCTTCGGCGGAGGATTGGAAAGTACCTCCATGAAATTCCCATCATGGTCTCTATGAAGGATTCACAGGACATCCCAGTGGACATAAACAAACTGCTCTGCATGGCCCCCTCTGCCTAACTCTAGATGGGAAAAAAAGCAAAGAGCAACTCTACCTCTCTTGGTTGTTTCACTACGTCTTCTAGCACAAGTATAAAAGAGTAAATCAACAGATGTGTCCTGCTACTTTGAAGGTGCCTTCTCTGTAATTTCAAAGCAAGTTGCATACTTATGAGAGTTTCCTTCCCCTGCATCAGGCTGTCAGAACTGACTGGATTGCTGCGGAGTCAAAAACATGTCCTGGCTCATTGGGCAACTGGATCCCCCAGTTGCCTGTCCCCCATACTCCTCCTCCTCTTTCTCATTCACCTCTTCCTTTTCACGGCAGGAGCCTGTGACTCGAACTCCTCCTATGTATCCACAGGGCACTTGGGGGTGGTGGTAGGGTATCAGCCAAGAATGGCATGTAGATCTTTGTAAAAGCAGCAGGTCTGTGGCTCTCCACCAGATCGATTGTTGACCTCCCTGGCCTTTTGGTATTCCTGCCACAGCTCCTTGGCTTTCATGCAGCACTGCTGCTGATCCGTGTTGTAGCCCTTCTCCTGCATCCCTTGAGCAAAATGCTCGTAGATGTCCACGTTTCTACTGCTGGATCGGAGCTGTGCCTGCACAGCCTCTTCTCCCTAGCAGCCCAGGATCTGCAATATGTCCAGACAGGAGTGCAGCTCCAGCATGGTCAGCTGGTCACTTGCACGCAATAATGGAGAGTTGCTAGGTGTGCTCACCAAGCCGGGCAATCAGGAAAAAGAATTTCAAAAATTCATGGGCATTAACGGGAAGGGGCAGCTTCCTGTCTACCAGACCCCTGGGCAGCAGAGTTCACAATCGTGACCAGAGGAGAAGTCCCAAGGCTTGGCAGGGCTGTTGTTAGGTCTGAAGCTCCAGACCCAGCAGCAGCATTTCTTCAACTTCCCTCTCCACTGCCTCCTGCTGCTCCAGGACTCTGTCTCTCTGCTCTGGGGCCATACGGAAGGCAGGGCTCCATACAGGGCAAGTCTGTGACCTCAGCCCTGAGGCTCTCACACAGATCTCTGCCTTGCCCTGAAAGTTGTGGGATCAGTGGAGTTTCTCATGTCATTGTGACAGCTTCTCCCCAGGTGCCAAAATCCCATGACATGCAATCAGTTCACAAAAGATGTCAACACTGCCTTCACCTGGCCACTTGGAGGGGACTCCCTTTCCCCACCACTGCCCCCAAGCTGGAGATGCTGCCATTGTATTCCCTCCATCTTCCATCCCCATCCCTGTCCTCTGCAACTCTTCGACCTCCCTTCTCTCCCACAATCCTGTGCTCCCATTCCTCTGCAGCCCCTAAATCTGCCTCCTGCTCCCCACGGTCACCTGCTCCCTCTCATTCTCCCTAACCATCTTTCACAGTGTGTATACTGCTCCTCACACTCCCTGTGTCCTATTTAGCCCCCTGAACAATACAGTGGAAGCCATTTTGCCTGTGGGCTGGCTTCAATCTAATTGAAAACAGTGGGAGGTGGCAGCCAACTTTATTCAGAGCAGCCGTACTTCTGCATGCAGGTAGATTGTAGGGTAATTACAGCCACATTGCTGACTTCAGCTCCATTAATAGGAAATGGTGGCCATTTCAAATAAAGGGAAATTTATGAGCTGTCTGACTGTCATCATGTTTTCATGAGACTGGTAAAAACAACACCCGAAAGTCACTGGAGCTGCAATAAAATCATCAGAGTTGGCAATGCTGCACCCTACAGAATAGGGTGCATGGCCCAGCATTAAACTCTACCAATCCCTGTGGAACTCTGGGAATCCACAGGAGACCTGGCTCACATGCTTATGGGCTTTGCTGAGTTGAGGCTGTAAGAGATACTAAGATAAAGTGTGTGAACAAATAAACCCCTAAGAACAGGAACAATGAGTTAAGTAAGTGTGACAGGGTGGACTAGGTCCAGAGGCCCCCTGCTGGAGGCCTTGCAGCGCTGCCTCACCCCACCCGAGAAAAGAGCAGAGGAAAAATCCTCCAGGCAGCCTAGACTGTCTGCAGGGGAGCAGCCAATCAGGGGACAGGAGGGCCATATAAAAAGGAGCATCAGACACAGAGCAGTTAGTTACTACCTGGAGTTGGAAAAGAGAGAGAGGACTGGGTTCCTGGCTGGCTGGAAGGGCAACAGGACCATGCACAGCTCAGGGCTGGCAGGGATGAGGCTAGGGAAGGTTGCTGAAGACCAGGGGAGCTAAGAAGGAGCTCCTGGCTGGCTTTGGGGACTGAGCAAGGATTGACTCCAGAACCTAGCCAGACCGAGCTAAGGTACCGTGATGGGCCTTGTTGGTCTGTTTAAAGACTGAGCCTGGGGGAGGGGGGATGACCTGATGAAAAAGACACACCAACGGCGGGTACTGCAATGGGCCCTGTTGGACTATTATAGAGGGCAGTGACTCCAGGGAGGAAGCCTTGGTGGAAGGTAAAGACTCTATATGCTGGAAGATGTTTGTTTGTTTGTTCTATTCCACCTACAGACAGTGTGTGTGATGCCTCAGGAGGGCTGAGTCACTGAAGACCTGCTGAAGAAACCATTGGGTGGGGGATATCTGTGAGAGGTGAGTGTTTCCCCCGTTCCAAACAGAGAAACAGCAGGCTCTCACACCTGACCAGAAAGGGGGTGCTCATGAGAGGTGGGGGCTGACATTGTTACAGTAAGTAAAAGGCATCCCAAATCTATAGGCAGAAATCCCATAGAATGTCATTGGGCATTTGGGTAAATATGTATGGGCCTGGGAAACCTTCCCAGAGGGTATCTTCACTATGTAGTTAACCTGGGTGAGTGGCACCCAGGTCTGAGCTCTTGAGTTAGTCTAAATTAGTGTGAACATTCTCACAGCAAAGCCCCCATCTATGCTACTGTGTCCTCACTGATTCTGCACTCACCTGTGGGTATATCTGGGAGCATATCCCCTGCTTCTTTGTACAGAGATGCTCTATGGTTCTTTCCCATTCAATTGGGGGACAACTTGTCTGGCTTTTGGGAGGAATTGTGGGAAGGCATTGGAGGACTCTTACCACTTGAGTGATTTGTCTCTACATCCTCACTGTGGGTGGGTGGGTTCCAGCATGAGGGAAACCGGAGCTGGGGTTCTAACCTATACCCCAGCCAGGTAAGGTAGCCCTGGCTTAAAGCACCTAAAACCTGGGTCAGAGGTTTTTCTGTGGGGATAGTAGGTGGAGCCAAGTGAATAACTGGTGTTTCAGTACACTGCTAATTCTGAAAAATTGAAATGAAACTTTGGTTCGGATTGAACTGAAACCAAAATTCTTCAGAATTTTTGGCAAATTCAGAAGGTTGGAAAAATTTCATTTTGGGTTTTCATTTGACCTGAAACAAAATGGTTCAATTCAGGAATCTTTAATAAAAGCAAAGGAGAGGAGGGAGGGATGGGGGTTGTGATTAATTATTTTGATGTTTGGGTGCTAGATTCATAAGGGGATTTAGGCACTAAAACCAGTGTAGAAGAGATGGTGGTAAGGTTCCCTTGATAACCTTTAGCCCAGTGGCCGGTGTCAGGCCTCCTGGGCCTTGATTTGAACCCAAGTCCATGGAGTCATCACACTCTAATCTTCCATCTGGCAGCTCACAGACAGCAGCTGGGACTGGGGCCCATGCGGCCCAACTGGGGCACCAGCCCTACCCCTATACTCTGGCTAGGAGAGCTCCAAGTCTGATTGGACCGAAGCCCCTATTTAAGCCAGAAAGTTGCCTGAACAAGTGGACTTCACCCTGCCACGGAGTGCTTCCCTGGTATCCTGGTTCTGGCTGTCTGATACTGTTGTTTGATCCTGACTCTGCCAGACACCTGTTTCTTGGTACTGGTCCTCGGGTTTGTCACTTGACTCTGACTTTTCTGGTTTTCTAACCTGGCCTGGATCCTTGGGCTGTGCCTGTTGCTAGGCCAGACTGCTCTGACAGCTGCAGGCCCAGGTTTAAATACCCTCTGGAGCAGGTACTTAAACCCATGTCTCTTCTCTCCTACATAAGTGCACTAACCACTGGGCTATAGAATTTCTCTCTCTCTCTCACACATACACACACACCTCATGACTATTAAAATATATTCTACAAAGTGGAACAGTGTCAACAAGAGAAATTGAGAATGGGGATTTGAAGCTCAGTCTCTTACAACCTTGTTGAGGGCCCTAACCACTGCCATAAATGTTATAAAAGAGGAACCACGATCATCTCTTCTTCCAGTGGTTTTGGTGCCTAAATCCCCTTGTGAATCTAGCCTCTCCAAAAATCAGAGTGAGCTGTTTCATTAATATCAAAATGAACCATTTTGATATTTTTGATTATTTTTTTTCATTTTGACCAAAACAATTAGCCAAAATTGATACAAATTAACAATGTTTTTGTTGTCCTGAATTTGCATTGTTTGGTGGAAAAAATGTTTCAGCCCCCCAAAAAGGCAAGCTCTAATATTTGGGGTTGGGGGTGTTGGATTACAGCCTGAGGGAGAGCCAGGTTCATTCTTAACAGTACGGTGAAGACCAACCCATAGAAGTTTCATGCAGTCTCAGTTTTGCACTCCATATTTTATTTCACAATCTAGCAAAAGGTATTGCCCAGATCCAAAGCTGTATTCCCTGTTCATTATGCATGCAGAGCCCTTCCTACCGTTAATGGGAATGAAAAATGTGCATTGAGGAGATAATAGATCCCTTAATCTACTACTGTTAGTTACATACAGGAGAATACCCATGAGCACATGTAAATTTTCTTTTGCCTAGATCTCAGGCACCAGCCCTGCTATTTTTGTATATATTTACCATCATAGCTTTGTAGTTATAATACATAGTATAGTTAATATTAGTCTTTTTTCCCATTGCTTTCTTAAAATTAAGTAAGATTCCTATGGCATATGGAGGTAAAAGCAAAACAATAATTGAATGGCTGCATGCAGATTTTTTTTTATACAAACCACAAAATAAAGCTTTTTATATTTCCAAGAGAAAAACTGTGCACTAGGTGAATCATCACTCCCAGTGTGGAAAATAGTTGAATAAAAGCCTCCCCACTGTTCCTATAGAAGTGCTGTCTGTTGCCAATTGTTCCTGTCACATAATGATGTTAACTGCAGGGCTTTTTCTTTTCCTGCAGATAGATTAGACTGCTGCCTTTTAAGTATGTTGAAGATATTACCCAGTAGCCAACAGGATTACGTTATCAGGAGCGAACAGATGGAGCATATCAGGGCCATGTCAATCATTCCACACCTGTTGATTGGGTATTTGAGCCAAAAAATTAATTGCTTAGAAATTTAAAAGCAGCAGACTAAAATCATGAAGGACTGCAAAAAAAATTAGTCATGTGGGAGGAGAGAGAGGAAATTTTGCCTGTTACTGGTATCGGTGTCAGCACATCTTGGAGAATGAGTGATTCAGTTTGCAAACACAAGAGAGGTGGAGACTATTGAGAGCAGCAAATCTGTCAGAAATGTCCTTCATCTTTAGTGGTTAACAGTTGCATTGACTGTGCACTACATTTGTACATCGCATGGATGTTAGAGAAAATGCTAAAACCTTTTAAAAAGGCACTGCCCCAGCTAGCTCTTATTTTGTTTTTCTCCCCACCCCCATGTGTAATACCTTTCTTGAAGCTTCAACATAGTCACTTGATTTTTCTCCTTTTATTCCTTGTTCCTGTTTGACTCTCCAAGACTTCTGCACCACCAGGAGGAGCTCACACACTGTTTTGATGTGTCAGAGTCATGGGGTTTTTTTAAAAAGATTTGTCAGTATTCTGCAGGATAAAAGAAAATATTGTTTTCACCAATGAACCTATGCTGATGTCAGAGTGGCTAGATTAGGAGCATGAACCAGATACGGGTCCCTCCAGCTATGGTGCTGAGCACAATAGAATAACCTGTATGATGAATGTAAAGAGTTTTTCTAGGCAGAGATCATGTCTATTATAATTTCTGTGAAGTACTGGTCACAGGGTGGGTGCTATAAAAATCAGTATCTGCACATTTTGAAAAATAGGAGGAATATGTACATATAATTGTAGGTTCAAATCCTGCAGTGAGGACAGAATGGGTATGCAGATCTGCCCACATGAGTGTTAGGATAGGGGCTTTTACTGCTGTAGTATATCCCAAATACCTTACATATCTTTCAAATAGCTACAATTGTATACACAATTCTACCTAGGGATGTACACTGACAGTGCTTTGGCAGGCACATTACTACATACACTTCTACAATGTTCTCTTTAAAAGACACATTTAGGTGGGGGGGAGGGAAAGAAGGGAGACAGTTGTAGGGGTATATGGGGGACCCTAGCATGTGCAGGGAAGGGGAAAAGTAGGGCACAAAAGCCACTAGCATAGGGGAGGAAGAGGAATGGGAGCACATACAGCCCCTGGTATGAAGGAAGGGCTGGAGGGGTTGCAGGGAGACCCTTAAATAGAAGGCACTGGCAGCTAACACCCAAGAAACTTGGGGGGGGGGGGAGAGGAGGAATGCAAGGAGCCCCTGGGGTGTGTAATAAGCTAGTCTGACAGAAGTCACAAAGTGTGTGACCCTCTAGTGTACAATGAATATCCAGGTCAAAACTTTATTGGATCAGGTAAACAAGTATCCAAGCTCCCCATGATAAAATGTAACGTAAGCTCTGCCAGCCAATGGAAACTGCAGCAAATCTCAGTTGTGAAAACTCCATAACTGGAAATATTCCATTGTAGGCTAGAATATTCTTATAAAGAGTCAGTGGGAAGGTGGACTGAGTGATCTACTTAGTCTTTTCCCGCTCTGATGCCTTGGTTCTGTGGTATCTGTTGTATTGAAAATGAAGAAATTAACAGCATTCATTTGCTGTTAGAAATCTACAAATAAAGACTGCAGACAGAAAAAGAATTGGGTAAGAGGTTAGCCAAGGCAAAGCTCACTGGGTTTGTGAATCACATCTTATTTCACGATGGTTTCTTGCCTTTGATTTCAGTCTTACCTATCAATCCTCATACCCGTGTGCAGATCAGACCTCTAGCAATCACTTTGTTCCACATGACTTGGTTAGTTCCCTATCTCTCTCCGCCATTCCTGTTTCCCAGTGGCACCTTGGCTTCAGCTTCTCCAAATTCTGTGGTGACACCTAATTTTCAACATAATCTTAAAATAATAACCAGGTCTATTGCCTTCCTCTCAAGACATCACCCCCAGCTGACACAGTTTTCTTCAAAACTGGCATTAACATATTTGGTTACCTTGATGCTAATGTTCCATGATGCATATATTTTCACTAACACATGCCATCACCCAAACGTCTATTTATTAATTATGCAACCAGAAGAAGGGTCCATAACTAAAATGTCACTGCTAAACCGGGTTGTAACAGAGTGGCTTGCCCATCCCATTCTCAATATAGCATAACACACACAAAATGGTTATCAGCCCCTCCTTTGGGGCTTTGCTTTTAATTTAAATAACAAATTCCTAAAGCCAGCCTGTACTCAGAACACAAGAATTAGCCCCAAGCCTGCTTACTCCTCATTCCTAATTAGGATTTCTCTTAGCAAGATCTCTCTCCCCTTCTAGTTCAAAATCAGGGAGACTCTCAGCCTTTTATATTCCTGACTGATGCTAGTGAGAGCCACCTGACCTGCTGCTAAGGTGAGTCAACAGAATAGCACTATACTTCCATATAGGAACCTACTGTCTGATACCCATTTACATGGATATAGTAGATATCAAGCTAAGTGGCATTGGGCTAGGTCAATATGTGGATGGGAGACCTCCAGAGATTCTCAAATGTTGTAGGTCTGAGTAAATAACACTCTCTCCTCTGAGTCAATACTATGAGTAAGTGACCTAGGATGAAAATATGATTTTGGGAGTTGTCTTTTGAATAATCCATTGAACCAAGGTCCTTCTGATCACTGGTAAATTGTATATGTTACAGACAGAGAACACCCATTGGGTCACCTAGTCCTTTACACCCCAATGTAGGATTGTTTCCGACAATTTGTTTTTATATTATACAACAATGGATGTGGTTATTAAAGAGTCCATGGCACTTTGGGTCTAACACCCTATCATCTGCACAGGGTCCTAATTAAATTCCTATGTGGATAACTATGGTACTTTCTGGCCACTTAAAATTGTCCTGGGGGGGTTTCAATTGGATAAGGCATGCTTCCTGCTCTGTATTACTGTGTACACTCATAAGTACACAAATACACAGAAAGGTGGTATATTCCTGAGGTAGGTGAAGGGACCTCTGTGTCTGGATTCACTTGGTACGCTACACTATGGCCACCATTTAAAAAGTCAGCATTCACCAGGTCTTACCACTCAGTGTTATCAGGTACTTCATTTATTTCCTAGTCTATGTACAGGGAAATAGTGCAAGCAGTTAGTGTTGGTGACCATTAAAAAAGTCAATGTTCACCACGATAAAAGTTGTTTGAAATTCTCAGTTTGACTTTATGCTGACAAGAACACAGAGGGCCACTCCCTTACCTGATGTAAATCAGTATAACTTCATTTCTTTAATGGGTTGATGCACCAAGTGTGCCCTTGGGGTGCTAGCCCGGAGGCTCAGGTGGAGTCTGGCTCCCCTCTTTCTTAGGGGATTTTACATAGAAAGATAAGTTCTCCTCAATCAGTCACCAGTAACACAAGCAATCAATGGGAACTGTTACTGCCTTCCCCACCCCCACCCCCACCCCCGTAGTCCCTCCATTTGTTTCTGAGGTGATATTTGTATTGGAGGAGCATGTAGGTACCTTAGTCAATGTTCTTGGCTTCATTCTGCTAGGCAATGTAGGGACAAATAAAGAAGTCTCTGCCTCAAAGAGGCTCACAGCCTACATGACCAGATGTAACAGGTAGAGAGACCCTTTTTCCCCATACAGGGAGACAATAATTAAAAACAAAACAAAACCCCCCACAAATCTCAATAACTGGTACAAGGAAAAGTGAAGAAACACAATATGAGCAAACTTCAGTATTGGAAATATGCTAAACAATATATCTGTAACAGAAAGAAACAATTCACGAGGGGAATGATTGATTAAAGTGCCACACAAGGCAACATAAACACTGTAAAGTATTCTGTAATAGTGTATATTACTTTTATAACATTGGTCCTTCTGGAAAAATCTTCCAGATAACAGGTAAGCTTCCTTCAAAATGTTATAGGCACCTGGTACATCTTTTGACTTTCATGAAGCAACAGTGACATCCAGTGGTACTGTCGGTGTATCCAAGGTAAGGTAAAGCACTCCCTCCGGTGTGTTCCAGAAACAGGTCTGTGCTCTGCTCCCTCCCCTGTGTATAGAAGAGACTATCAAAATGCAGGTAGGTATAAACTGCAGTTTGCTGCAAGCTGCTTGTAGTCTGCTCAATACGATAGCTATTGCTGATGAATCTGATGCAAGCAGATGCGTGCTTTCTTTTACAAACGTGGATGTGGGCATATAGAAGACTTTGTAAGTGCACCTCCAGGGTGGTAAAAACAATCTGCCTGTTTTCTAAATAACAATAGCATTTGTCTGTCAATCAAAGTATATTTCCGTGAAAACTAATGCGGAATACTAAAATGTTCCCCATCAGTCTATGTACTTAATTTCACTTTCTACAGAGTATCATTAAAATCATCTTCTTTCTTTCCTCTTTTCTATTTACCTACTGATTTCTATTTATTTCCATCTCAATTTATTTTTACTGGGCTTTCACTTTATGTTTACTCTATTTTCTCATTCAGTTCTGGGTCGGCTGCATCTTGCTTTCTGTTTTACCTCTGATCCTCTCTTCTTAAATCATGCCACAGTAGTTGTCTGTCTCATTTCAATGTTTTCACTTGCATCCTTGTCACTTTTCATCGATGTTTCTTGTATGATGTAATTTTATTCCAATTTGTAGTGTCAGTAATCTGAGTTACCTCCCTTGTGATTTAGCTTCTAACCCTAGTTTCTCTTCTATTTACGTTAGAATCTAACTTTCTCGGTTGAAATCATTTTACTCACTTTTCTCTCCCAAGTTGTTACTTCTCCTGCTGGTTCTTGCTCTCTGTGGTTGCTTGCTGGCTGCCAAGAAACACAGTGAAGAACTAGCTGGTAGTGTGATCAGGTGACTGGAGGTAGATCCTGAAAAGAAACAAGTCTTGCTTGCTTTCTGTGTTAGTTATTTAGCTTTAATGGGTTACTTTATTCCCATTGAGAATGAATAAAACGGTAAATTCTTCAAACCATCAAAACAAACAAAAGCACACTGTCCTTCACTGCTGAATTAGAAAATGATGTGTTAGATGTGATTAGATCAGCATAGAACCACCAGGGACCTGATTCTGCTTCCATTGATACTGGCAGAAAAATTCCTATTGATGATAATGGGAGTAGGACCAGGTACTAGATAGGTGTAATAGTGTAGTCACTTGTATGCTTAGTGCAAAACATCTAATGTTGTCCTGATAGTCAAGCTGACCAATCTATACTATTTGCAAGAAGTGTGTGTTGTGGGGTTGTTTTTAATTATTATTTATTACTGACAGATCTCCCTGCATTAGTTAACATTCTCATTGTGGATTTGAACATAGAATTGATATGATAGGTTTTCTATTTCTATAGTTATCAGAAAATGCTGTGTAATGCTAGAGACCCAATCTGCATTTGGATCCAAAAGTAGGAGCCTAGAGTCGTGTAATTCCTTGTTACACTTTCAGATAGAGCTGTGAGACACTCAGTGTCCATTTCATTCAATTTCTTGTGAATGTTTTTTATTCTGTTTTCTTTTGCGTGCCCCAAATCTCTTTATGCAAAATCTTGTTCTTGCATTAAAAGTGTGGGGAGATAATTGTGAATTTCCCTATCTGTTAATTAAAGAAAACAAAAAACCAAGCACATTTTAAAAGTATAACTTGGCCATATTTTTCTTAGAAATTGACCCATTTTTAATTCATAATTAAATGCGAGGTGAGGACAATGGTCTCTCCAATTACTTTGTTACAAAGCCCTCTCACATATCTACTTATAGTAGGAAGAATCATCACATTCTTAACAAGGAATTAAAATGTAATTGTCTAACTGTAAAGGAGGAAAAAGACCTCACTTCTACTAATACTGCACAGGACACACCACTTAAGCAGCACCTAATAGAAAATATTTTAAAATCTGCTTGGGTGCTCTTATGTTTTATGTTATGGTTGCATATAGTTGTAAACCATTTCTGGGAGCTTTTTCATTAGTGCAAGCAACCCTTTTTATTCAACAGCCATTTGGTTTAGTCCTTTAGTTTTAAATAATTTTCACTTAAAGTGAATTCCTTTTTATTCATTTTCCCCCCCTGGAGAAGGCAGTTTTACCCTTTGTCCAGTATGCTTCTTACCATTCAATTCCAGTAGTTACTGGAGCATGAGGAACCTCATTATAGGTATTGATCTGTGTTAGGACACATTCTAGAGACCACTATTTGCATTGGGCCATTATACACACACACACACACACACACACACACACACACACACACACACACACACACACACACACACACACACACTAGTTTGCCTTCATTTTCCAGTCATTATTTGATTTGCATTTTGGAGTGGAGGTAGATTTGCTGGGCTCAGTTTGATCAGGTTAAGTGAGCATTTAAGACTATTATTCAATGAAGTTTAAAGATGCACAAAGCAAAGGGAAAGGTGAAGGCAGGCATTGTAATGGTCTGTCACAGACTGAAATAATCCGTTTTTAAACGAGCACGTCAGGCACACATTTGCGTAATGGGAACGTATTCCCAAGTGTTCCTTCTCTAAATGATTTTCTGAAAATGATTCAGGATTCATCTGCAAAATTGACTCTTTCAAGTTCCTGCTGTGGATGAATTTTCTGTCCTCAGAGAGGGTAGGGTGGTGTGGTCTCGTCTTGTCCCACAATAATCATATCAAGCCATGAAGTTTGAGAATGAATTCAGTGACTCTTACAGGGTCCTTTGTTGATCCAAGGCGTGAAATCCAGGGATTGATCCCAGGAGTGAAATCTAAGATCATTGCTTTCCTTACAATATCATGCTCAAAAGAATGGGTAGGTGTTAAAGCCTGCTCCTGACACAACTAGCAACGTTGATATATCTTGGTCCCATCTCTATTGATTTTTCATTCCTGAGGTGTGCCCTCTCTGCAGTCTCAACAGTGGATGTTATTTTCCAAGATATTTTGATATCAATCAGAGGATCTTTTATCTCTTGACCATTTATTTCAGCTAGTATTTTTCCTTGATAAGGCTTCAATATCCTCGACCGTTATCATTCCTACCTTCGTTTCTGATCTTCCAACTTTGTCCAGATCATCAGCTATCTCACTCCCATATATACCAATGTGTTATTGGATCCATTGAAAAGATCCATTGCCTTCCTTTCTGGGCCTCTGTATAAATCATAGAATCATAGGACTGGAAGGCACCTCAAGAGGTCACCTAGTGACCCCTGCACTCATGGCAGGACTAAGTATTATCTAGACCATCCCCGACAGGTGTTTGTCTAACCTGCTCTTAAAAATCTCCAGTGATGGAGATTCCACATCTCCCTAGGAATTTATTCCAGTGCTTAACCACCCTGACAGTTACGAAGTTTTTCCCTAATGTCCAACCTAAGCCCATTGCTTCTTGTCCTGCCGACAGAGGTTAAGAAGAACAATGTTTCTCCCTCCTCCTTGTAACAATCTTTTATGTACTTGAAAACTGTTATGTCCCCGCTCAGTCTTCTCTTTTCCAGACTAAACAAACCCAATTTTTTCAATCTTCATAGGTCATGTTTTCTAGACCTTTAATCATTTTCGTTGCTCTTCTCTGGACTTTCTCCAATTTGTCCACATTTTTCCTGAAATGTGACACCCAGAACTGGACACAATACTCCAGCTGAGGCCTAATCAGTGCAGAGTAAAGCGGAAGAATTACTTCTCATGTCTTGCTTCCAACACTCCTGCTAATACATTCCAGAATGAGGTTCACTTTTTTTTTGCAACAGTGTTACACTGTTGACTCATATTTAGCTTGTGATCCACTATGACCCCCAAATCTCTTTCCGCAGTACTCCTTCCTAGGCAATCATTCCCATTTTGTATGTGTTCAACTGATTGTTCCTTCCTAAGCAGAGTACTTTGCATTTGTAAAGTAAACTGCATTTTGATAGCACTCTGGTTTCTTCTAAAGGAACTGAAGAACTTGCCACTTGAGAGTCAACAAACATCAATACATACACAGATCTCAAGTGGCCTCATAGTTCAGAGAAATACAGCAGGAAAAGAAGAGGACTAAAACTGAGCCCTGAGGAACTCCCATCCTGATTGGCCTGGTCTTCGAAAGAGTACCATTTAATCTTACTGTTTTCTTATACTGTAGAAAAGCTCTTATCTAAATGTGCATTTTGCCACAGATTCCCATCTCATTGAGTTTCACCAAGAGCTTATCATGCCAGACTCTAACAAATGCCACACTGAGATCCAAAAAGATTCCTGTGGATGACTGTGGTGGCTTTTGTTGAAATCCATCAATAATAAGTTGACCAAAGACAAACGTTCATAGTTGAGAAGTGCAAGGGCTTGTATGCCATTTGGGTATGTTCTAACTTCCTTTCTTTTAGAAGCCACCATAGAAGTCTTGATTGTAACTTTCTTTCCACTTACAGAGGTGACTTGTTAAAGATACAGATCAATAGCTGTCCAGAGAAGAGGGATCCTCGCAAGTTCTAGGAAGAAATAAATGGTGGAAGTCAGCAGATAGGTACCTTTGCATTTGTCCACAATTTGTTTATGATGTCCAGCAACCTAGCTTTAGCCTGCTTCCCAAACTGCTTTACCATATAGCCATAGATATGGTCCAGTCCAGAGGATATGCATGGCTTGAGCTTTTCTGTTGCATCTTCTAGCTCATGTATGAGAGCTTCCTGAAGCTGGGGTACTCAATTGAATCTGTCTGCACATCAGATTATTTGTCTCTCTGTGTGACAGGGCCTTTAGTGGCTGGGCGGTTTAGTGGTTGGACCATTGGTTAAGGGGGAGGGACTATAGGGGGGACCTGACCCGTCCCTCTCCACCAGCTTCTGGCCCAGAGTCCTGTGTCACTCAACCCCCTAAACAGGGGAGATGGATCTTTCTCCTGGCCGGGGGGGATTCAGGACCTGTTTTCCTGGGTTGCGTCCTATTAAAGTCCTTTTAGTTTGTGGTGTGGCCCCACTGGGCCAGTTACTTTGCAGTTGGGGCATACCCACAGGCTCCCCATGGCAGGGGAAGACTTACTTGCCTCCAGTAGCTGCGTTGGCTGGCAGGC